GGGGATATTTGCAGGGGCTAGAGTCCCTGGTGAGGCATGTGCAACAGACCCCTAGCGAGAATGTAGGTGGTTCAAATGCCATGGTTCTGGTTCTGGTGGGTTTCTTTTTCTTTTCTTTTTTTTTAGCTTATTTTAATTTCTCGTGGGCCTAATGTCTTTCTTAATGTATTTATTTTTCCTCTTTTGAAGTGTCTATTAAGCACTTCGTAAACTCTGGGTTAAAACAGTGCTGTATAAATAAAGATTGATTGGCCAGCTAATATTGTGACACAAACACTCACTGATTCATTAACCACTTAAACACTTATTAACAGAGGAGCACCACTATTTTTAAGAGCCTTCATACTTCTTTGTGCTGAAAGCATATGGACTGATCTACCTCCGTGTTAAAGAAATATACAAATACTCTTTGGGTTGTTTATTTGAAATGCTGCTTGCTTTTTAACCATGATCTGCTGTAAGTGGTGTTCTCTTACCCTATGGCTGTGATATCTCCACATGTAAATAGATTCTTTTGTCGCCTCACTGTTAGCCTGGACCCTCCCCACATCCCACCACCTACCCCCAACTCCATGCAATCTCACCTCCAAACCTGTGCCGTGCCAACCCCACCAGCAATTATGAACTAATCTTTTATTATTGTGTAACGATCTTGCAGCCTTCTGGCACGCTTTGCCTTTCTGAGCCAAACATAGCTACCTACTAATCTAAAACTCCAAAATCCTCTCTTTTTTCTTGACGGCTGGTCTGTGGATTCTAAATTCACAGCTCCTGATCAATGTCTGCCTAGTTTAATTTATTTCATGAAAAATGTAAAATGGACACAGAATTCAGAAATCAGAATTGTCATCTAAAAATATTTAACCTGAAAAGTTATATCATTATCAGTCATTTGTAAGTGAATTTTGAGGAACTGCAGTAGAATATTATGTGGGTTATGCCTCTCAAAATCAATTATTCAAAGTAGTGTGATTATGCACTAGAGTAGTTATTTATTGCAACCATAAACATATGATATTGCATCTGACATTTTCCAGTCAGAACATGTAACCCAGAATCTTTTCAATTTGCATCATAACCTCTACAACACACAATCTTCATGTTTGAAAAAGGTCTAATCTAATTTGAAGCAGCATCCACTTCAACAGTTTCTATAGCAACTACCAGATAATCTGGCATGCTTTTGAAAAAGGAGAGCGATGCGAAAGGCCTGACAGCTTCATTCTCAGTTTGGCTGTTTTGGTCAGTGACGTTTTCCACACTTTTTGCTCTTTTTCTCTAAAGGTCACTTTCCATGATTTATGAAAATTGATAATGAGTAATGATTTGAATCTTCTGAGGCAATTTCCAGTACAGAAACTATCATTAAATCCATCCATTTTCTATGCTCATTTATCCTGTTCAGGGCCGTGGGGGTCCAGAGCTTATCCCACAGTTACAGACACAAGTCTGTGAATAACCCAGGAGGGGGCGCCAACTCATTGTAGGGCATACTCACACCCTATTCATGGGGAATTTGGCAACTCCTATTAAACTTAGTATATTTTTGGACTGTAAAGGGAAAACTAGAGAACCAAGAAGAAACCCCACAATGACAGAGGGAAAACATGCAAACTCCACACACGTAGAGCTGGGGCAGAGACTTCAACCCTGGTCCCAGGGGTGTGAGATAGTGGTAGTAACAGCTGCACCACCCCATCTTTAAATCCTTAAATGTAAAAGGTTCCCTTATACATTTTTCCAAAATGCAGATATGTGCATCTTTTTTTCATCATCATTATCATCATATAAACAACACAGTTTACATTCTAATAAAATTGCTAAACATTTTCTATGTCTGCTTATCCAGTATAGGAAGAACAGTGGACAAGGCTGGGGACACCCTGGATGGGGTGCCAGTCCACTGGAGGGCACAGGGCAGAGAACACCCAGGACTGGGTGCTAATCTGTAACAGGGCACAAGGCAGGAGGACACCCTGGATGGAGTGCCAGTCCACTGGAGGGCACAGGCCAGGGAACTCCCAGGATGGGGTGCCAATCTGTAACAGGGCACAGGGCAGGGAACACCCTGGATGGCGTGCCAGTCCGTAACAGGGCACAGAGCAGGGGGACACCTTGGATGGGATGCCAGTTCATTGGAGGGTACAGTACTGGGGACACCCTGGATGGGGTGCCAGTCCATAACAGGGCACATGGCAGGGGACACCCTGGATGAGATGCCAGTCCGTAACTGGGCACAGAGCAAGAGGACACCCTGGATGGGGTGCCAGTCCACTGGAGGGCACAGGGCAGGGAACTCCCAGGATGGGGTGCCAATCTGTAACAGGGCACAAGGCAGGGAACACCCTGGATTGGGCGCCAGTCTATAACAGGGCACAGGACTGGGGACACCCTGGATGGGGTGCCAGTCTATAACAGGGCACAGGGCAGGGGGACACCCTGGATGAGGTGCCAGTCCATAACAGGGCACAGGGCAGGGGGACGCCCTGGATGGGATGCCAGTCCATAACAGCGCACACTCTCACACTATGGGAAATTTAGAGACCAACTCTCCTAACCAAGTGTAGGGTGTACTCCTGGCCAATCATCTGTACTGGCTTCATATCATTTCATTTCATAGGTGGATTATACAATTTAACTAATTTTACTAGTTAAGTGTATTACACTTGTACATAGAATAAAATATTCCTTTCATAGAAACTTGATATATTTCATACATTCCAATTTGTTACATTTTTCTTGTACTCACAGAAGGTTTAGCTGGATCTAAAAAATAAATCTCAGCAGGGTCTTGGTTTTGGAGAAGGCCGACTTAATCTGAATAAGTACCTTCATCTGGATATTGTACAATGAGATTACTATATCTCACTTGTCTTGTTTCTGGGCTCCACTGATATTTTATAAATAGTTCTTTTATTGCTACAATAAAGCATCATTTGAATAATATTCCTCCATGATTTAATGATTCTCCTGGGAAATAAAAAATACTGCTCTAAGCTATATTGTTCATGTGGGAATTAAAATTGTTATGCATGCAACATTCACATATAATGTAAGCATTACGTATTCTACCCTTTTAGTTCCCTGATATTTTATAAAGTTGTAGCCTGTGATGTTTCCTGGATAATCCAAAGACACACAGATTAATTGATTTGTCACACTGAACTGACATGTCATAATGTTGTTTTTATATAAATAATTATCTGCTGGTCATATTAAAGGAAACTTAGATCAGCAAAAAACAAATGTATTGCCTGCATAAAAATCTACTCTTGCTTTTAATTTCCATGTCATTCATCACTACCCAATAGAATGTAATGGGTAAAGAATAGGTAAAGAATGTCTATTTAAGCCTGGGTTCCAAATGCAAAATCACTTTGTGATTAAGATTGGTATGCTAGCCACTGGATTGCAGTTCCAAGGTCAAATTCAAATTCCTATGAGTTACATTTTTTTCCCTCCAAATGGCTCTCTCACAAGGTCATTTAATTAGACATTGGCTATTCCCTTGGACCTTTATATCAAGTCTCAAAAGCAAATTAGGCTTCTCCCTGTTTTTTTCCAATGCATCACTTCTAATCACACATAACAGTAAGCCTTGTCCATCCGTTTTGTATTGTTCTCTTGTCAGAAAAGTTACAAATGGCTGAAACAATCAACATGCTGGACTGCCCTTCATGACTGAACTAGTCAATCACAAATAGGTTTACCACCTAATCCATTTTAGGGGAAACATTTTGAGCTACTTCGGGTTTTATAAACTACTTTAAAATTGAAAGGCTCCTGTGCTTGGCTAAGTAGTCCAGTTCTTCTTGTGCTTTGACTGGTTTGTTCCTTTGATTGAAAGACTCGTCCAGCTGTTTCACATTAGCATTAGTGCATGATTATAGGAGACTGACCAATCAGCACACAGCAAGAACTTGGTGCTAAAGCAAAATTTAGCTCCTTTTGATTGAAATGATAGTTTACAGATCCTGTCCTGGCACAAAGTAACCTTTCCAACATGGATTAGGTGGTGACCCAAATTACAATGCTAACCACTAATCCTATATGATATTTCCTATTGCCCATCGTCTTTCTACCTTGTATTGCACATTACTTACATTACCCTAAGGAATATGCAGTGTTGGCACTAACCATTTGAGAGGCCACCATGGTCAATCAGAAAGACCAGTCATCAGCTTTGTCACCTGAGAATACCGCTTTATTATGAGGGGAAAATACCCCAGGGTGTTGGGCTTTGCTGGGTCTCATCAATCAACAGAATGGTGATAGAACACAAAACTGGCACAGAAGGGCACTGGCCCACTGACTGAGGCTTCACTGGCAGATCAGCCACAGAATCGGAGGTACTATGAGTTAACCATAAGTTTAGGACTGGTGTATTTGAGTACAGGAATTGTCCACACCTTGTGTGCCTGTGTCTGTTCCCATGGTATGAATTTCCCCTGAAGTGTTTACTTAGTGTGTGAATGAGTTTACTTGTGAGTTTGACTAATGCATTTGTATAACAGAAAACACTGTTTCAATCTAGTGTAGGGTAGGGTAGAAAAGAACTACGTAAAGAAAAGAACTAAGTATTTATATGAAAGTTTGATTTAATAATGGTTTAAAACCACATTAGAATATTTTTAACTAAATTGTTTTTTGAAGAAATGTAAAATTGTACAGAAGAAGCGATTTATAGCAAATCATCTGCGAAATGAAGTTAATGCTCTGCGCAAACAGGGCCGTATTTCATACGGACACTAGTTGCTTGCGCGTAGTTCATAATTTACAATCAGTTCAAAGACAACCACTAGATGATACGATGACGTGTGGGGTGATCGCGTCCATTTTGGTATTTATTCTAATAACTTTGTTTTTTTGGCCAATGGTGGTGCAGCTCAGCGTCTCAGTAACCAATACTAGCGCAGCACAATGACTCACCATATAAGGAGAGCTAATGCCATAAAAGGAAACATTATATCTCTTTATATGGAGGAAAGTAGACCGGGGAAATCAGGCATTCATTTGTACTGTGTTAATTTATCTCTTAAGCGACAATGCGGGATTGAGCGTGCAATGCTAAAAAGTAATTATAGAATTATTTTACCTAAAGATATACGCCAGAAATGAAGACCGAGGAAATGTTTTAGTTTTTTCGAAGGAACTATATGTCACGGCGGAGTAACAAAGTATTCGTAATCCGCGTTTTCCTTTTGGAGAGAGTGCGGCGGCTTTTGGAGGCAGAGGAGGTTGTACTTGACGGAGCTGAGGGATGGCGTCTGTGTGGTCGCGTCACTTTCGAAACTTATTTCACTAGTTCAGAAAGGAGTCTGTCTTATTTATTTTTTTTATTTCCTCTAGCGCTAGTTTAATTGCATTTGCCTCATTGCTTGTGCAGTGCCTATTGCAGTCCCCCAAATAACCTGGCACCGGCGGCTGGCTGGTATTTTGAAAGATTTCGGTCTGCCATCTGAACATGTTACCTAGCCAGGCTGGGTCGGCACCAGCGGGAAACGGGTCAGCGTCCGGCAGGGATAACGCGAGTCACGATTCGGGCTTCCGACCCGGCTCAGTCAGGAGAGGGCTGATTGAAGTGGCAACCGTGGCTGCGCGATCGGCGGACGGTTCAAGGATGCTGGGGGGCAACGGAGCAGGAGTGGGATCCAGGATGGGGGTGAGGCAGGGTAACGGGGCAGGTCTGACCGCCCTGCAAAGCGTCGCCTCGGTCGGGGGGCTCGGTGCTCCCGGCGGCGGCAGATACGAGCCCGACAGGGAAATCGCCTCCCAGACGTGCAGCGGTTCTGACGCCGACTCCGACCTGGGCGACGATGACGACCCTATGAGTTCGAGACGGGCCGTTAGGAGAGGGGTGAAGCGGGAGAGGCCGGAGATGGAGGGCGCAGCCGCGGGGGCAGAGATCGGTATGTCCTCCGGAGGATACGCCGGCGTCCCCGGAGGGGTCGCAGGGGCGAAGCCCGGCAAGAAGACCCGGGGCCGAGTGAAAATCGAAATGGCCTTTATCGACAACAAGTTGAGGCGGTACACTACTTTTAGTAAGAGGAAGACCGGTATCATGAAGAAGGTGAGTGTCCGGGGACGGCGTGCCACTTCAGGGCTGGCGCTCGCTCTGCTTCATCGCGTAAAATAGACAAAAATAACAGTAGGGTAAAATAACTGCAGTATGTGTATTAATAGCTAGGAAAGTGTCCTGCCTACGCCTCGGTCAGTATCGGGCACCCTGCCTGTCCGCAGTCCTCTCTTGTACTTGCTTCGAGCTTGACTCAGAGTAAAACTTGTGGTTGGTCTGCGTTTCTGCCTAAAAGATGCATCAAATATCTCGTTTCGCTTTGACAGGCGTACGGTGCGATCACAAAGTAATCGCGATCACGTTTCCTTAGGCTGCATTCTGCCCAGACGCCATGTGACATTTGGCTTCCCGTGGACGGGGGCTTCCTCACACGTGTGTCCGAGTCCAACTGCGAGCCCTTCGCCAGGGCCCGGGTCCGGCACCCCAGCATCTTCCCGATGTTGCTTACAGGATGCTTTAAATAGAACAACGCCGTCGGCATCCAGAATTTTATCCCTAAACCTAACCCCCTTACATCCCTGACACATTCACTCCCTCATGCATGGGTATCCGCACACAACCTGGAAGATGCATCTGATGGCCAACTGCTGCCGCATATATATGACTGTGGCTGTGATGGTAAAGGATGTAATTGGGTGACGTGAATATCGGCAGCTGAAACGTGTCCAGCATGCTGGCTCTATACGGGAGCTGATGGGTCTCGAGGATTCCTGTAATGTGTAAATATAAAATTAGCGTTTCATATGAATCCGATTATCAGACCAAGCTGCACTTTATCAGCTAGGTGAATATTTTCTTTGTCATGCTCACTGGAACCAGCTAACCTCTTGTAAACTGTCCAGTCACTGTGTTTTACATAATTGCTAGGGCTTTAACAATAAAATACTTTAAAGTACCAGCCCCATACCAGGAATTTCTGTATATTTAGGGCTATTTAAATACAGAATTATGCCTTTCCAGCCATGGCTGTAGGCTTGCAAGGTTCTTATGAATGGATCAAGCTGTTAAATCAGAATGTCTCAAAGGTTTATCTAGAAACAAGGGTTTTCAAATGGGTGGGGGCTTTACATTTTATTTTTAGTCTGTTGTTTCCTAGAACACCATGTTGGTGACATGGGCCTGACTGATGTTGCGTCGCCTGTCCTTCCTCAGGGATACGCTGCCTTTCTGACCCGGAGCTGGGGTGCTGTACCCACTCTGCCCTCTTCCAGTTCAACTCCAGGAATTTCTAGATTAAAAAAAAAATCTTTTTTTCTTCCCCTTAATTTTTTCCCCCAGCTTGTTTCCGAATCTTAGCCTGTATGTAATGGAACAGATTGCCTCATTTTTTCAACATAGACACCTGTAGGAATGTCTCATGATAAAATCTGACCTTGGTTTAGTCTCCAGTTTTCCCAGATCAGTATATCCACACTGTTCACATAACTCCTCAGAGGTTTAATTCCTGTGTTACATGTGGCCAGTGTGTGTGTACAGGAATTTCCTGCCTTCATGTTATAGCATAAGCATAATTAACGTGCATATAATGGATATTTTAACCTGCTAGGGGGTGGATATTTAACATTAATAAAAGCCCAATTCTTTTCTAGAAGTGTGCTCATGTGAAGTATACAGTACCGTGCAGTATCTCCAAACCTTTCTTTTTAATAACTAAGTATGCTAGGATTTCTGTAATGGGAAGAATGGGTGCAGCAGCATTAGCACATATGTACTGCAGGTTGGAAAGGCTCATCGGCGCAGTAGCATTAGCGGTTAGCTAGCTGAAACACCTGGGCTATGCAGAGTCTGCGAGACGGATCCAGGCATAAAGTAAATGGCCTCAAGTGGTGGAGCCTGTGTGTTTGTGCTTTTGTGTACTAATCACAGCTCTGTTTCAAGTGATGGACTTAAATGCTACTGGGATGTTGATCTTGATTCTGTTCAATTTCATCGGTTTAGCCAAAAAAACTTATTCCCAAAAATCTGTGACAAAATCCTTTTTCTAAATGATCCTGCCAAGTTAAATCGAGCTTATTATGTAAACGTAAGTTTCCTGTGCAGTGTAGTCAGACGGTGTGTTTCTCTGCTTTTCTTAACTGGTGATATTTGACTTTTATATATTTCGGCAGTTTTATTTATTCTGGAGTGGAATGTGTTACTATAGGGAAGTGTATATGTAGCTATTGCGGGTTTGATGGCCGCAATGTATGTTTCAGTGGTTCCATTCAGTCAGTGCTGCTCAGGTCTCCTGCTCTTTGTCGTTCTTGTTTATAAGCTGCCAAATGGTATTTGGATGTAATGGCCAGGTACAGATCCCACTTCTGAAAGCGCCCAGTGGCGCATCAGCTCATATGACCAGCTGAAGAAGCCGTTCCTGCACAGTTGCTTGTGGGGAAGGTTCTCGTGTCTCCTCATCCATTGATAGTGACACGTCACCTTACCCAGAATAGCTCATCAAGCCTGCATCTTGTTTCCCGGGCCTCTTGCCTACAAGGCCTGAATCAGAAGAGGTTTATAAACAGTGTCAAAGGGTTAAACTTGGAATGACTCGCTCTTTAAATGTCTGAGTTTATTTAACCTTTGTTAATGTAGCTCCATAGGCTAATCGTGACTGTTTGTCATTGTGCATAATTCTGGACAAACCACCTGCTCTTTCCATGTGTGCTGGTCTTTCTACATTTGCTTCATGCCCCCTTGTCTTTGGGTCATCTTTGAATAATCTCTATTCTACTGCTGTTGTTGATTCTCGCCCAGGGTATGGCTGGCAGGGGACGGATCTTATAAGAGTGTCTTTTGCCTCCAGACATCCTGTTCCACCAGCAGTCCACACCCCCCTGGGTTGTCTGGTACTGGCTCGGTCTGAGTGTCCAGTGGGTACTTCTTAAGTTCCTTCTGCCCTGTTGCTTTTGTTACTCTGGAGCTACATTAGTCGGCAGCTGGCTGCTTCAGTGCTTGGTATAAACTACCTTAAGATGGCACCTTCAATACTAAGTTTGTGCTGTAGTGCACCCCCCCCCCCCCCGAAAGTCAAGATTATTGAATCCTATGTTTGTGGTTCTTATTATCCTGCTAGTTGCTAAGAAAGCAAGTTTGTTAAATGGCCAAACTGAAGAGCAAACCACTCAAGAAATGTCACAGATCTCATTAGTTTCCATTCTATCCTTAAGTAATCTTATTATAGGATTAGACTGAAAAAGCTTTTATATGGAAGTAAATGATCAGTCCTTGTAGAAAATCTGCAAGCTGAAAGATTTTCGGGTGAAAATCTGAACTCTTAAGATGGGCTCATTTTCTCCAGCCTGGTCCACCCCCTGCCTGAGTACAGCTCTCGTTTAAATTTGAGTGCCCTTTGGAGTACAGTAGTTTTTAGCACCGCTGGTCATGTGTACAGGACTTTCCCCATTTGTAGGAATATAGTTGAATGCCCCACATTTAATCCTAAATTGTGCTGTTAGAGAGATTCTGGTTACAGTGTATTTGCTTGAATTTGACAAACTAGGCCAGAGGTCACTAACAGGCGGACCGCGGTCCGGGCCCGGGCCCAGAAGTTGTCCGATACGGACCCGGACCGATAGCCAAAACATTATTTAAAACCTGATGCTTCTATTTTAACCGGCGCAGCTTTTGTGGTCTTTTCAGTAGTGGTTTAGCAATAGAACCGCCGTTTCCCACGCCAATGAACGTCAAACACCTTTAACCGCCAAGCTAGACATAGTTCGTCTCATGCAGCCCTTTGTCTGCGCTAATGTGCCATTAGTGTTAATAACAGCAGCGAAGCTAAAACCCGCAACTAAAAATTCATAATGTTCCTAACAGTGACTTGTCTGTCCTGAAATCATACAGCTGAAAAGTTTTTAAATACAGTATGTATTATATAACATGTTGGATAAATAGGCGTAGTTTATTGTTGATGTCATGTTCGTTGAAGTTTCTGCTTTTTAACATATGTATAAAATAATGTTATCTGTTATAAATAAACTCGGGTGAAACAAAAAATGTACGTTTTCATGGCTGCCAAATCTCAAGCATCTGGCATGACACTAACGCTTTCATAAATATATTATATATATTATTTAGAATATACTGTATATTATTCCATTATAAAACCTAAAATTAGCTACGTCAAAGGTGTATTTACACGGTTAAATACAAAAGCAGACTATTTACAAGGTAAATAGACATTATGATATTCCGGACCTTTGCTTCAAGAAATTTTCTCTAACTGGACCCCTGCTCTAGGCGATATTTTCCAGGAGTAGTGATCTTTTTTGCTTAAATGGACCAGGGAATGTACCATTGTCTCCAATCCCACAATGCAGTGCTGGGATCAGGATGTTGGCATAGGTAATGTGTGCCACTGAGGCAAACCATCATCTTGTATGTTTGGTCTTTTTCTGTAAGACACATGATATTGTAATACTTGGAGTAACTTGTATGTCACTCACGGCAGTCTTTATGGGATCAGGTGAGACAGGAAACATTGTAGGGGGTAGTGACTGTCCCCCAGCCTGTGGTAATTGCCATTGTATTTTCAGTATGCCATATTTCTAAGATGTCAGTTGGCTTGACAAGACCCCCAACCCCCCCCGCCCCCGCCGTGTTTCCACTCAGGTTGATGTATTTTATTTGCCTCGCATCACTGCTTGGGCTGACACAGATTTTAATGGGAACAGATAGGTGGCTGCTATTGTGTGCCCCTAACCCTGATGGCTTTGTAGGGGGAGATAGCATGCCTTGTTTTCCCCTCCTTCAGCTTGTTGAATTAGTCATCCGGAGATTTTTTTTTGGCAAATGGGTAACAGAGTGGACAAGAGGATTGTAAGATCAGGGTAGAAGCTTCAGTATGGGCTGGGTCCCTCACACACACATTACTGTGAACCATTGATCTTCATGTTCTCCACTTGTAGATAAGTGGCACCCATCTCTTGACTGAGTGCTGCAGCAGAGGTGGCACTTCCCTTTAATTATCTGAGCAGTGATCTCCAAAAGCTTTCTCCTTGAAAATAGCTGACTGA